CGACCTGCATGAAGCGAGACCGTCGCTCTACCGTCCAGTCCAAGCTGTTGGGTAGTGAAATAGAGAGAAATCCGAAATATTTATTGTCCTATGCAAAATCACGAGCAAAAACTACACCTAGTACCGGGCCCTTGCGACAGAGATGGAACTTTCACAGATGACAACAAACAAATGATCGAAATACTGAGGAATCAGTACGACTTTTCAGCGAGCCACTATACACATTGAAGATTGATAACCCCTAATAAATTCTTCATGGATGTGATGCCAACATGAAATTATATATCAGATGTCACCCTATCCCCACTGGATTGTGAAGTCATTGACAGTATGCACTCTGCATACCTGGAGCATACTGTAGAGGGCTCTGTGAACTGTTTTACTCCCCGAGCCCGGCCCGCTGGCCCACATTACCACAACAGCCTTTTTGGTCCTGCACTTCTTGCAAGAACTTATCTAAGTGCCTCTTGAATACCTCCACCTTTGTTCCAGCAATATTTTTAATGCTTGCTGGGAGGGTGTTGAACAGATGTGGACCTTAGTTCAGTGTTGTGCCTATGGCATCTCTACTCGTCACTGGTTCTATTCTGCATTTCCTTCCGTACCTTTCCCTCCAATATGTTGTAATTCTACTGTGCAAATTTGGGACCTGGTCCTCCAATATCTTCCATGTATATATTATTTAATAACTTTCTCGTCTCCTTTTCAAAGAATACATTGAGAACTTTGAGACAATCCCAATAATTTAGATGTTTTATCGTGTTTATGGGTGCCGTATATGTTCTCTGAATTCCCTCTAATTCAGAGATCTCTCCCGATTTAAAAGGGGAAGTGAGTACCGATCAATACTCATGACTGCCCAGCATCAGTGATTTAAATAGTATTAACATTGCTGTGGGGTCTCTGAATGTGAACGTTTTCATAACCCATCCTATCATTTTCCTGGCCGCCGCTATATTTGCTCGGTTATGTTCACTAATTGTCAGACATCATAATTCCCAGATATTTTACACATTGGTTTCCTTCTTTGAGTAGGTCTGACTGCGTCTTGTACCCTGTGTTTCGTTTAACTTCCTCGTTTCCACCATAGCTAAGTACCTGTCACCGTTAAACATCATGTTATTTTCATTTGCCCAATCGAAGACCTTATTAATATCTGCCTGTAGCTTTTCAGTGTCTTCTACAGTTAATTTTCACATTGAATCTTTGTATCCTCTATACAGGATGACACGAAGCTGTGACTAGTAATTTTGTCTATATCCCAGATAAGAATGAAACACCACCTGGCCTCCTACCTACCCCTCACGTGTAGCCACCAACACCTGGCCTCCTACCTACCCTCAACATGGGACTTGGCGCGGCACGCAGGACCACATAACCACCACAGCGAGAATGGTCCGGCACTTCTTGAAGAAAGCTCCCCAGTTTTTTCATCAATGGGTGAAGGTCAGGCCACTTACTCTCACACAACAATGTTAGGGGAGGGTGTAACCCCTCAAGGTTGAGATAACCGGGCACAAGTAGGAAGGTAGTTTGGTAGTCGACGAGTGAGTGGTGGCGGGACCTAAAGCTCTCATTGGCGGGATATCAACAGCCAATCAGCGCCACCTACCCCGCGTGACAGCCAATCAGCGCCACCGAGCCCACGTGACCGAAGGGAGGTCAGCCTGGGTGACCAGACCAGGACCAGTTTAGGGCTACCGTTGTGTAGTGGCAGCACAGTAGGGAGTCTTGGCAAGTGTTGTGTCACAAGACGGTGGTGGATAGGCAGGTAAGGGACGCCCGTCCCTCCTTATCCTCCGATAGTTTGGGTAAGTACTGTGATCTTTGCATGGGGTCGCTCAGCAATCCAGTGAACTTGACAACTACCTGACTAATTATGTCAATACTGGAGACGCCTGTCTCATTCATACAGGTCGGCGTTCAATCCCCGACTGTCTAAGTGGTTGGGGCCACCATTCCCTTCCTTCCGTCCCATCCCAAATCCTTATCCTGACCCCTTCCAAGTGCTTTATAGTCGTAATGGCTTAGCGCTTCCCCACAATAGTTCCCTTCCTGTATTTACATAATTAGTCAGGTAGTGAGGGAACACAGTGGCCAGAACACTCGAGCCTGGACAACCAGAGACAACTCCATAGTCTCCCGTGACTGCTGGATGCCGGCTACTGAGCACCTGCTTGGTGGGTTGTTGTTGTAGTTTAAGATTCAGCTACTGGGAACTAAAAGTTCCAAATAGCACGGGCTATGGTGAGCCCGTGATGGACTTACCTGGCACAGGAGCGGGGCTGAAACTCTGTGCTGCTTGGTGGGGGTTCTGGGAGTTGTTCTACTCCCCAAGCCCGGCTCGGAGCTAGGCTTGGCTGAAGACTGCTTATAGTAATGAGCAGTCTACATCCATTCTTTGTGATTATAAATAAGTTTACATACGTTGTGTGTGTTAAGTGTACAGACCTACGGTTGTCAAAGTTTACATACGTTAAATACATCGCTGACGGTTGTCTCACATGTGTATTCTCCAGGAGCTGGGATACCAACAGAGGTATCAATCCTCTGATACCTCTAAGACAGTGTAGGTACCGGGGGGAGGATGTTGAGGGTACATCCTCCTGTCTGCAGAGTACCAACAGGATGTTTTAGATTTAGCTACTCAGAACGAAATGTCCATGTAGCACGGGCTATGACGAGCCTGTAAATATGAATGAGATTGGGTGGATATAAATAGGAGCTGCCTCGTATGGGCAAATAGGAGCTGCATTGTATGGATTAATAGGATCTGTTTCATACGGGCCAATAGGCCTTCTGCAGCTACCTTCATTCTTGTGTTCTTATGTACTTAGGATTGTTTGTCTTTCTCCCCTCTCCTCACATCCTTCCATCTTCCCTCCCACCTTTTGGCAGATTTTGAAAGGGAAATTGACAACATGCCCATGCACTCAGCACGGAGGCCAGACTCGTGGAATTCAATATTTATAAAGAAATGCAAAGTGCCTGTAGTGCAGGCACTCACGATAGTGTGAGGAAGGGCTTGGACACAGGAAAGGTACCAGATGCGCTTAAATCGGCAGACACTTTACCAGTTTAACTTCTACAGATAATTATAGACCAGTTGCACTAACGTCCCACAAAATAAAAGTATTTGAGTGATCAGGAGTCGGGTCACTAGTCTCATGGAAACCAATGACCTCCACAACCCAGGCCAAAATGTATTTAGCAAAGATAAGATCATGCCTCTCACAGCTACTTTAGAGTCCAGATGCCAAATACAACTGATGAACCTATTACTGCACCTATACAGCACTACTGTACAGGAAGGTTTACAACAAGCATAAGAACAACTTAAAAGTCTCATAAACGACATCACCATCCCCCCCCCCAGTGTTAACACCACCACTACAATGAAATTGATGAAACGAGTGTTGTATTGCACCAGTACCAAGGAAGAGGTAGGTCATTACTGTACTGTACCTACCAAGGTCTGGTCCTCGACCAGGCCTCCTTTTTGTTACACATCCCTAGGAAGCAGCCTGTAACCGCTGTCTAACTCCCAGGTACCTATTTACTGCTAGGTGAACCTAGAAATGTTTCGTTGTATTAATGCAAATGGTGAGGTATGTCATTACCTGGAAACATGCCGTGTCACACCAGTACCAAGGACGAGGTAGGTCCATTACCTGGAAATGAAGAAGGAAAACTATGAGAAGAGAGTATTATTATTACAATGCATATGAGTATAAAGATAACCATCCCACGAGAAACAACACTCAAACACACACACACGTGGAGGCTTCACCACCTGTCACATTAACAATAAGAACAAGAAAACAAAGTTCTATTGAGAAATTATTATGGATAGGAATTATCTTACATCTATGGGCTCCCTCAAAACACGCACTACCCCACACTTGCATCTCTGAGCTCTCCCAAAACAAGCACTACACACACTTACCTTTCTTATGTTCGAACATGTTCACTTATCCAATTTATATCCATTGTTTCGTGTTCTGTTTTGTGTTTATCACCTTGCCAAAAACTTTTGTACCATATCACCTCATCCAATAGAGTATAAGTACGAAGAATTTGTGTGTAAATAAAGTCTTTGAAAATGTAATACGAATTACGAAACGTGTTCAGGCGTCAGACAATTAAAAAATGAACTTTGGAGAATTGTTATTACCACCGACAATGAAGAAAAACATAAGAAATATTGAGAAGATTCGTATTAGAATGATTAATCTTACCTTTTCGGTCATATTCAACAACATATGTTTACAAGAAAGACTGCTACCAAAATATACTAATATATATATATTTCTAGTCTGACGCGACACTTGAATGCGTTTCGTAATAACTTATTACATTTTCAAAGACTTTAGCTTACACACACACAACTATAACCTGCAAACACTAAACAGTTCTACTATGCTATCATTTAAACAGCTTTCATCTTATCACCTCACCCAAATGTGGGTATATAAGATGAAAGCTGTTTAAATGATAGCATAATAGAACTGTTTAGTGTTTGCAGGTTATAGTTGCGTGTGTGTAAACTAAAGTCTTTGAAAATGTAATAAGTTATTACGAAACGCATTCAAGTGTCGCGTCAGACTAGAAATAAAAATTAATTTTGGAGAATTGATTTTTCAATTACCATCGACAGTGAAAAGAAACATAAGAAAGAGAAAATTCGTGTTAGAATTATTAATCTTACTTTTTCGGTCATATTTAATAACATATGTTTACAAGAAAGACTACTATCAAAATATATATATATATATATATATATATATATATATATATATATATATATATATATATATATACACATATATACACACACACACACACACACTTATGTACATAGTATATAAGCATTCCTTCCAACATACTCCTTTTGCTGTTATTACACTAATACACATGTTATATATAAGAATTTACATTCGTGTTCACCATAGCGAAGCACTAAGCCGATGCAGTGATTCCAGACAATAACAGGTGACCACACAGTCGGGGACGCTAAGCCCCAAAAACACCACAAGGTATGCTGTGGTCACAAGCTGAACAGCAATGCTGCGTGCACCAGCCTTAGTTGCTCAGTCAGCACTTAGGCTCTCACACCCAGGAATGTTGCCTACAATTTTTTTTTTTTTAAATGATGTCTGTTTACAAGAGCCCTGAGACAGCTGATGTGAGCCCCATGTAGCCGCGGGACTTAAATCTTACGTGGTACTCCCAACCATACATAGCTGTGGTGTTCAGTTCCGTGAGAGTTACTCATCCCTAGCTATATATGTATTTGCGCATTTTATGGGTTAAAATCCTATCATTCTCAAGCAACAGACTGATAAGGCTCCTGTCGTTTGCGAAAGATTTATTTTTCCCCTTGATGTTAAAATTTTCCAAATATTCTTTTTTTCTTTCAACACGAGATACCTCTAACAATAGTCTGCCATTATTTGGAAAATATTGTGAAGGCCTTTATTACCTTCCCGGATATTATTACGAATAATTGGCACCTCTCGCAGTGTTCAAAAGAGGTTGGCAAAACACCTTCCAAGAATACCTGATCAACCATGCTGCGATTCATATGGCAGGCTGCGAGCAGCCACATCCAACAGCCTGGCTGACCAGACTATCAACCAGAAGGCCTGATCAGAGACCGAGCCACGGAGATGAAGATCCTCGAACTCGTCAAAAAGTAATTGACACACTGTGTCAGGTGCATCACTGATACCCATCATAGCAACCATATCAGGTGCATCACTGATGCCCATTATAGCAATCATTGTGTCAGGTGCATCACTGATGCCCATTATAGCAACCATTGTGTCAGGTGCATTACTGATGCCCATTATAGCAACCATTGTGTCAGGTGCATTACTGATGCCCATTATAGCAACCATTGTGTCAGGTGCATTACTGATGCCCATCATAGCAACCATTGTGTCAGGTGCATCACTGATGCCCATCATAGCAACCATATAAGGTGCATCACTGATGCCCATTATAGCAACCATTGTGTCAGGTGCATTACTAATGCCTATCATAGTGTTAAGTAAAACCTAAGTGTTAAATTTTGAAAACCAGTTATAAACAAAAATTTAAAGTAAGAAATATAAGATTCAGATGAGGAGACACAGTAACATGGGTTGAAGAATGTTGACCAAACCACACGCTAGACGATGAAGAGACAACGACATTTTGATCCGTCCTGGACCATTATCAAGTCGATTGTGATAAAATTGACTTGGTAATGGTCCAGGACGAACCGAAATGTCGTCATCTTTTAATGTTTTAGTGTGTGGTTTAGTCAACAAATATAAGATGTGAATCTAGAAATATTGGAACACTTGAAAAGGAAAGAAAACACAAGCTGGGGCTTGTTCACTTCTCTCTAAGCAGTGGAACGGGTCAGGTGGTCATCCCACATGACTGCTCAAGTTGGATGGTCCTGTGGTAACTATAGTGCATACACTAACTTCTTGTATTTGTCATGCTATCATACAGGCTAGTCAAGTACAGTGGAAGCTCCATATACCGACAGCTCCAAATTCAAACTTTTCGGCATTCGGACGCTGTGTTCGTTATTCGTCCATTTGCTCAGCATTCACATGTAAACACACTTCCCTGACATGTCAGTTTTGCCATAGCTGTCTGTCGTTCAGTGCACAACTCACTACAATATTCTCTTTGATATTTTGTATATTTTTTTTATTCTTTGTGTAAATAAGTCACCATGTCACCTTAAAACGTTAGTGATAAGAGCCAAGCAAAATAAAATAAAAAATGGTTAGAACCACAATAGAGATGAAGAACGACCTCATAGCAAAATATGAAAGTGGTGCTTGCGTGTCTGCTCTTGCTACCAAACTTGGTAATGCCTAAATCTAGTTCTCTAATATAAAAGAGTGTGCAAATGGTAAAATGGAGTGGGGGAGGTTTGAGTGCCAAGTTTTCTTGAAAATTATCAACCTTACAAAGGTTGATAATTCTATGACAAACCATGTTATAAACCTGTTGAATGATAATGCTATATCTCACTTTGGAAACATTTTAAATTGCAATCCTTTTGGACAAGTTTCCTGAAAACTTGTCCAAGGAGGAGAAGAAACTAGAAAATCCTCCGGTGAGTCTAATGAGGGAAACATAAAAAGATAAGAGAAAGATCTTCTGGCAGAAGCCCAACTACCAGTAGTTATAATGGTAGGGGGACTTCCCTGCCAAAGAATAACATCTCTTCCTCTGCCTCACCACCCTCCACATATGCCATCAACTCTCCCAAGTGCAGGTAAAGTACGTAAAGCGTTACTATTTATTATATTTAATGCTAGCAGTACCCGGCCCCGTGTTGCTGTGGCGCAGCAACCTTCCCTGTGCCCCCCATCCCCCCCCCCCCGAGTCCTCCCCCACCATTTCCCCCTCACCCATCTCCTCGGCTTCCCAACCATTCCCCACTCCACCGTCCTCTTGTCCTCCCTACCATCCCTTCTTTCTTCCCACCATGCCCCACTTCCCTGTCCTTTTGTCCTCCCCACCATCCCAAACCTCTCCTCGTCCTTCCCCACCATCTCTCACTTCCGTCCCCTTGTCATCCTCACCATTCCCCACTCCCTCATCCGATGCCTTTTCAAATGGTCTTATGTTCACATCAGAAAATTGGGAATATCAAGTGATGTTCCCATCACTGAAATATAAGAAAAACAGTTAAAAATGAAATGAAAATATGAAAAAAATAAACTATACTCAGGAAATGAACGGTATGGTAAACAACACAGCTCAATTCCAACACAATGTCACACAAAATAATTAAATAAAAAATAAAATAAATCGAAATCTATGAAAATAAAATTTATCAATGCAATCGGAAACACTGAAATGGATTTCGTGACATATTTAGTATAGTGTGCATGTTGCTATTATGTGCAACAGATGGCGCCGTTTTTCAAAAACGCATGTTTTTTTACTTGTCACAGGGGGCTGGCATCTATATAGTAGGTATATAAAAAAAAATGTGCCTATTCGAATGCAATGTTGTCAAAATTTCAAAGCAATCAGCAAAGAGGTTTCGAAGATTTCCCTCGCATGAAAAACAGTTTTTCAGAAAAGGCATGTTTTTTACCGTCACAGACGTGACATCTATATACAGTGGCACCTCGATTAACGAGCGGCTCTATTTACGAGCATTTCCAGTAACGAGCAAGCCACTCGCAGCAAATTTGTCTATTAACGAGCAAATCCACATGGGGCTTCCTAGCATCTCGCGGGTTCTCGCAAATTCTCGGACGCCTCCGACGCCAGTGTTGTTGTTGTATCGTGCACGACAAGCATCCCTCTGCATTTATTTGTGCTTTTCTTTGGTTTTTGTGGGGTTTTCTGACTACAATTTGTAACGCATGATGTCACCAAAGAAGCTGCTTGCTAAAGATAGTGTTGTCAAGATGAAGAAAGACACAATTACTGTGGACAAAGCATGAGCGTGGTGTCTGTGTGACTGCTCTCACAAGGAAGTATGGCAGGGCCTCATCAACAATTTGCACCATTAGTAAGGGGATGAGGAGGTGAGGGAGGATGCTGCCTCTTCCAGTGAGATCTTGAGGTTATCTTGAGATGATTTCGGGGCTTTAGTGTCCCCGCGGCCCGGTCCTCGACCAGGCCTTCACTCCCAGAAAGCAGC